TGGTAAGCTCTCAGTGAGAGTGGGTTTTTTCTTAGGCGTGCTTGTTATTTGCCATTCTCTGATAAGAGGCTGCAGCAGCTGCTGATGCTGTGGTTTGCGGCTGCAGGTTCTCAGAGTGTTGTTCTCTCTGTGGAGTAAGGACTGTTGGGCTGGGAAGCAGCAGCCTGGGTTCTTGTCCACGCTCCAGCCTCTCTTTGTTCTTGGCAGAACCCCTCATCGATGGTTTGGGGAAACTACAGCTTTTCACGCTCTGTAGGAGATGCTCAGGTAGAACGATGGGATGAGAATGGTCAGGCGAGGTCCTGGACGAGCATCTCAGGAAGCCACAGACAGTGAGAAGGAGGCAGGATACAGTGGGTGCTTTGGGCTGAGAAGGGAGTAGGAGAGCCCGGTGTCTCCTCTGGATAGGGGAGAGAAGGGAGCCTTCTCCCGGATGGTGGGTACTGTCTCTCCTGGCTCTGGAGTTGAGAAAGACCCAGAAATCAAACTGGGTAGGATCTTTTTGGCAGGCCCCCCTTTAGTCCAGACTGATGAGTTTGTGAATCTTACCTAAACCAGACCACCACCTCCATCAGACAGCCAACATGTGTCTGCTGAAATCACAGTTGCAAATACCCTGCTCACCGCAGGGCATGCTGCTGTGATGAGGGTGTTGCTGCAGGGATCACACACCAGGTCCACCCCAGGCCTGGCAGTAGTAGTCTATCCAGTTCCTGTCCACCCTCCCAGCCTAGAGCAAAAGGTCTCTCAGGCCCTGTCTGCCCTCTGCCCAGTAGGGAATCGGGCGGGATGTGCAGTGTAGCCAGTGTTTGCTGACTGAGTGACATGTGGGCTACTTCATGCTTACTGGGTCTGGTTAGCTCCGGACCAGTCAGAGGAAGAAGTAAGTCACTAAAAAAGAACAAAGCTGAAAGGTTCATGGGGACTCCTGCCAGCAGGTGCTCTCTCCTTGAGCTGCTAACAGCTGCTAGTCCGGGAGTCAGTTGATTCTTGGTTTTCAGCCAGTTGTATCCAACCAGAGACCACAGACATGCCAGAGTGATGCCTGGCATGCGATACGGCCTGGGTCTCATTCATATTTAATTTTGGGGTTTTGAGCTTTTTAGGGTGCTTTTGGAGCAGGAAGGTGCCCCTGGTTGGGAGGGCTCTGGCCCCAGAGATGGAAGTGCTTGATCCGACCAGTTCCCAGGCCCCGCTGCAGGGCTTGGGGCTGAGTTCAATGACAGAGTGAGAGCTCTGAGTCCTTCAGAGAGGTAGTAGAGCACTGAACTGCTCTGGGCTGAAATCCGCCTCTTACTGTGTGACCTCGGGCAAGTAGCTTTACTGCTCTGTGCCTCAGTTTCCTCCCCTGTAAAACCAAATCTACCTCTTAGGGACATTGTGAGAATTAAATGAGTGATTTTAGGGAAATCGCTTGGGACAGTGCCTTGAGCATAGCAAATGCTCAAAATCATCACTTATTTTTATTCTAATTAGCCTCGTGCCTTAGAAATGCTGACAGGTTCTGCATACTACGAGCAGTCCTTGGCAGGAAGTTCTCTTCTGAAAGCACAGATTGATGGTTTCCATGTTTCTATAGCTTCCCATGGCATCCTCCCATCCATACAGTAATGTCCACATTCTATTCCTTGGCATTCAAGGCTGACAGCCATCTGGTTCTTACCTTACCAGGCCCCACCTGTCTCTGCAAGTCCCACCCACTGGTTCCTCTTCATCAGCTACTCTGGGAAGCTCCGCCCTCTCCTCCTGCCCTGGTCCAACTCTGCGTCCCCCCTCACCGAGGTCCAGCTCATCTGGTACCTCTTCCATGAAGCCTTCTTCAGCACCCTGGCCCCTCTATGTTCTCCCAGCCCCAGCCAGCCCCTCGTTTCTGTCTCAGGTGGAGTCTGAGTCATCTTTGTGCCTCAGTGCACAATAGGACTCAGTTGATGGGTGCTGAGTGACGGGACAAATGAGTGAGAGGTGGGAAGCAGGGCTTTCTGTAGCTGGGAACACTTCCTGTTGCAGGGTGTCAGCCTGAGGTACATGTCAGACAAAGACTCAGGCCCTGCCCAAAGCAGAACAACAAGCAGGAAGGGAGATGCACCAGCAGTCAGCTCTCTGTCTTGTTCACAGGATGTGAGCTGCAAGGCTGCCTCTTTCTTTTTCTTTTTTTTTTCTCTTCATGGATCTGGGCATCAGACCATAGCTATTTTATTACTACGGCCCAGTCATTTGTTCAGGGCTTTTATTTCCTGAACTTTCCATCTGAAAACTCAGAGCTTGAGAAACCTCCCACTCCTTTATGGCTATTTTTCTGGAATCCAGCCACTGCTGGAACATGAATCTCCCTAAACTTCCTACTGAATTGGGAATTAGAAGGGTCTGTTTCTGAGCAACCTCATTTCCCTCACAGTGATCATTGTGGCTTTTTCCATGAAGAAATGGATTGAGCAAGATCTTGGCAGGAGACCACAGGACATGGGGGAGGTAAAGCTGTGATGGACAGAATTTGCTAGAGTATAAGGCGGACTGTGCTGAAAGGGCCATGAGGGATGGATGGACAACCAGCTGGGACATCCTGGAGGGGTAGGGAACATGGCTAGTGGAGGGATTAGAGGGGCTTCATGGAGGAGGCACCTTCAGTGCCTGGACCCTGAGGGAAGGTGGCATTTGAGAGATGGTAGGATTTGGGCAGCTCTCTGGGTGGCAGAAATAGTTATGCATTTGACTACTAGCTGAAAGATTGGTGGTTCAAACCCACCCGGAAGCATCTTGGAAGACAGGCCTGGCAATCAGCTTCTGAAGTCACAGTCTTAGTTCACTCTGCACACAATGGGGTAACTAGGAATTAGAATCAATTTGACAGCAATTAACAACAATAACAAAGGATTTGGGTATGAGTCCCTGAGTAGTATAAGCAGTTAATGCACTTGGCTGCTAACCAAAACATTGGTGGTTCGAGTCTACCTAGAGGTGTCTTGGAGGAAAGGCCTGATGATCTGAAAAACAGCCATTGAAAACCCTCTAAAGCAAAGAGGAAAGATAAGGGGGCAGGGAAACTGGAGTCCAGAAACAGGGCACAATGAAAGAGAATGTTGGTTCATTGTGAAAACTGTAATGTCACTGGACAAATTATATAGACATTGTCAAATGGGAACCTAATTTGCTGTGTAAACTTTCACCAAAAACACAGTAAACTATTAATTAAAAAAAAGGAGAAAGAATAAATTATATAAAAAGCCCTATGGAATACAGTTTTACTCTGAAACACATGGGGTTGCCATGAATTGGAATTGACTTGAAGGCAATTGGTAAGATTTGGGCAAGGGGAGAAGGAGGAAAAGTATTCCAGATGGAGGCACCATGGGGGACAAAGGTCCCTGAGATAGGACATGTGGGACAGCCCTCAGTACTAGGGAGTGGGGATGCTCAGACGGTGGAGAGGAAGAGTGGGAGAGGAAGTCAGGAGGGAATGGAGGTGGAAAACAGTATCAACACATGCTTACAGCTATATATGCTGACACTGGCTGCCTGCTTTTCTCTAGGTATTAAGGCCTAGAAGGTCACCAGCTCCAAACGATTTAGACTTAACATTGAAAAATTCAGGGCCAGGCATAATATACTACACAAAAACATTGTTCTATGTCCTAGTTTGATGAGTAGCGACTGGGGTCTTAAAAGCTTGTAAGTGGCTATCTAGGTGTAACAATGGGTCTCTTCTCATCCAGAGCAAAGAAGAACGAAGAAAACCAAACACTAACCAAAAATTGGAAACAATTAGTCCAAGGGACTGGTAGACCATGCAATCCTCAGCCTATATGACCATGAGACCAGAAGAACTAGATGGTCCCTGGCTACCACTGTCAACCACTTGGAAGGGGATCGGTACAAGAGATCCTGGATAGAGTGGGAGAACAATGTGGAGCAAAACTCAAAATCATTAAAAAAAAAAAAAAAAAAGACCAGGTTTGCCGGTCTGATAGAGCCTGGTGAGACCCCCGAGATGGTCCCTAGTTACCTGCCAGGTCTGGAATTGAACTCACTCCTGTGGCTTCCAGCTAAACAAGACAGGTATTTGGGGTGAACATTTACCTCAGGTAGATACACTCCTTAGAGCGATCAATCATGGGAGAACAGAGGGCACTGTTTGCACAGGGAGACAGCTCGGAGGGTGGGGGGCATGGGAGGGAAGGACACAGGGAAGAGGTAACTACGAGGAGGAAGTGGGAAGAGAGCTGTTACATTGTGGGAAATTGCAGTCAATGTCATGAGACAAAATGTGTATGAACTGCTGTATGGAAAATGAATTTGCTCTGTAAACTTTCACCCAAATCACAATAAAAATAAAAAAAAAAAAAGTTCGGGGCTAGGACGCTCAAAATACACTAATTCTACAAAAATGCCAAAAAGTACAAAAAATCGCACCCAAACTCAATGGTTGCAGCAGCCAGGTTGGAGGGCAAAGGCAGGCTGCGTGAACAGACACACGACACATGAAGGCCTGTGCAGAGTGGGGTGTGAGTGTGGTCAGTCTCTGCCGGTCACTCAGAACCACCCCCCTCTGGTTCCTGGGAACACAGACTGCTCTGGCTCTTGGGGGTTGAGCCCTGAGTGCACAGCCAGACAGAGCTGCTCCCATTATTTCCCTTGATTCTGATCTTGGGGGATAGGCAGAACAGAACATGGGTGTCATCCCCACTCTGAAGACAAGGTACCTGAGTTCAGAGAAGAGGAGGGATTCATCCAGGTCTCTCCGAGCCTGCTGGCTCCATGATGGGTGGTCTGTCCGCCCCTGGGGGCTGCTGGTCAGCAGCAGCTGGAGAGCCTGTTCATCCCCCAGGCCTCTGAGGTGGGTAGTGTCCCAGCTTATTCACTCCCCCTGAAAGCTTCAGCCCCGGGTGGGTGGCCTGGTGACAGCAGCCTCACAGGAGCCTTTGCAAGGAGGCCAGGTGGGGAACAAATCCCATCTTTGTGGCTGCCTGCAGGTTGATTCTTGGGCCACAGAGGGTCTGGGAAGGATGAAGAGATGGAATAGCTCAGACTCAAGAGAGTCTGAGGACCCACCCCAAGAGGCCACCTGTTTGGATCCTCCAGATGGTGATCCTAACTGCAAGCCACCTTCAGCCAAACTCCACATCTTCACGGCCAAGAGCCGCCCCCGGCTTTTTGGGAAGGGTGATTCTGAGGAGGCTTCCTACATGGACTGTTCTCATGAGGAAGGTGAGGTTGCCTCCTGTCCAGCCATCACAGTTAGCCCTGCTGTCGTCGTCCAGAGGCCTGGGGATGACCCCACCTGTGCCAGGTAAGTCTGTATCTGCAGCCTACTCCCTTCTCTGCCATGAACCTCACAGCTCAGCTGGCTGGGGCCGCAGGCATGGAGGCACCATGGGTAGGCCAGATTCTGGGCTAAGAGTCATAGAGCTGGAGAGCTGGGGAGGTTCAGGGGTCATCTTGTCCTGTGTCTGCACCCATATTGATCAAGGTTGCCAGCTTATTTCTAGGTGTCCAGGCCTAGAATGCTCACCAGCCAAAACGTTTAGTCTTTAAAAGCTCAAGGCCAGGATATGTCTAGACAGAGTATGGAACAACTGCAGTGAGGAAGCCATCAGCCTTTCCTTCTTCTCCAAGCATGGCAGGCTGACTTCTGGGGACACTTTTTCACTGAGCAGGGGGCCATCCAAACCCCTGCCTTCAGACCCCTTTAGGCTGCTGCTGCCTGAGCCCCAGCTCCAGAGCAGGCAGAGAAGCAAGGGGCCTGGGTGTTGGAGGCTGTGGTGGTGGCTGCAGAGAGTCCCTAGACGGTGCTGCAGACGGAGTGGGGATGGCGCATGTCCCGTCATTCCGTTAATCAGTTTCTTGGGTAGTCACCTAGACTGAGGTGTGGGTGTTACATAGTTCATTTTCCCCCCAAAAAAACTGTTTCTAAGAGGCTTTAAGTTTACAGAAAAGTTGTGCAGAAAGTTCCCGTATGTCCTCTCCCTCTCACACATTGTTTCTCCTATTAACATCTTGATTCTTATGATACATTTGTCACAATTGATGACCCAGTGTTGATACACTAAACCAGCCAACCAACCAAACAAAACCCCAAGCCATTGCCATCCAGTCAGTTCTGACTCACAGCAACCCTATAGAGCAGAGTAGAATTGCCCCATCGGGTTCCCAAGGCTGTAATCTTTGTGGAAACTGCCACATCTTTCTCCCATGGAGCTGCTAGTGGATCCACTTTTTGGTTCGCAGCTGAGTGCTTGACTACTGTGCCACCAGGGCTCCTGATTGATACATTATTGACTAAAATCTATAGGGCACATTAAGAAGCTCTGGTGGTGTAGTAGTTAAGGCATATGGTTGCTAACCAAAATGTTGGTGGTTCAAACACACCAGTCGCTCCATGGAAGAAAGATGTGGCAGTCTTCTTCTGTAAAGATGTGCAGCCTTGGAAACCCAGTGGGAGACACTATGAGCTGGAATTGACTTGATGGCAGTGGACTTAGTTTTTACGTTTATAGTTTACATTGAGGTGGTCTGATGGTGTAGTGGTTAAAGCACTCTGCTGCTAACTGATAGGTCAGTGCTTTGAACCCACCAGCTGCTTCATGGGAAAAAGATACAGCGGTCTGCTTCTGTAATGATCTAAAGTCTTGGAAACCCTATGGGGCAGTTCCACTCTGTCTTATAGGGTCTCTATAAGTAGGAATCTACTTGCCTGCTAACCAGATGGCTGGTGGTTCAAACCCACCAGCCACTCCTCGGAAGGAAGGTTGGGCAATCCTACTTCCATAGTGATACTGCCTCGGAAACCCAAGGAGGGGTCGCTATGAGTCAGGTTTGACTCGACGGCACATAACAACAACAACAACATAAGTAGGAATCAACTAGATGGCAATGAGTATATAGTTCACATTCGGGTTCACTGTGTTGTGCTGTCCTGTGGGTTTGACAAAAGCTTAAAGTCATACATCCACCAGTCTGCTATTACACAGAATAGTTCCATTGCCCTAAACATGCCCTGTGCCCTACCTATTCACCCCACCCCCCACCTCCTGGTAACCATTGTTTTTTTCACTTTCTGTAGTTTTGCCTTTGTATCATGTTCCTCTTTTTTTTGGTTCGCCTCTGGGTTTAACTGTGCTCCCTTGTCAGTCTCCATAGGCCTCCGGGCCAAGGGAAACTGAGGGCATGGTACCAGAGTGTTTTCCTGCTGGCCTGCAGGCAGCTCTCCCAAGACTCTGTCACCTCTGGTGCCGAGAAGACCCTCTACGATCGCAAGAGGATCTTTGAAGCAGTGGCTCAGAATAACTGTGAGGAGCTGTCGAAACTGCTGCTCTTCTTACAGAAGAGCAAGAAGCACCTCATGGACAGCGAATTCAAAGGTGGGGCCCGTTCCCAGGAGGAGCCAGTTCCTAGGAGGGGCCCCGCCGCATCTGCTGTGACTCTCTGTCTTGCAGACCCAGAGACAGGCAAGACGTGTCTGCTGAAAGCCATGCTTAACCTCCATGATGGCCATAATGACACCATCCCCCTGCTCCTGGAGATTGCGCGACAGACGAACAGCCTAAAGGAGCTCGTCAACGCCAGCTACACGGACAGCTACTATAAGGGTGAGGAGGTGGGGCTCACCTAGAACCAGCCTCTGAACGCCTCATTCCCTGTATCAACTGCTGAACCGTGTCTCCTAGTCTTGGGGGTGGGGGTGGGGGTGGGGGTCTTTGCTTCCCCCACCTGTTGACTTGGTGTCCCTCATTACAAGAGTCCCTGCCTCCCCTATTTGCTGTCCTGTCCCCTGTCTCTGGGAGGTCCCCGCCTTATTCCTGATGAACTGGCATTCCCTTCCTCTGGAAGTCACTGCCTGTCTCCCTGCTGCCATCCCTTGCTTCTGGGCAATTTCAACTTTCACAGTTCCCAGTCTGGTGTACCCTGTTCCCAGGGGTCTCTACTCCTGCCTCAATCACTCTTGATCCCTTGGGGGATCCTGGCCTGGTGTCCTTGAATGGGGACTTCAAATACTGCCCAGTTCCCAACGCAGCAGCTGCTGCCTACCCTGGGCTCCTCCCTAGCACCGGTCTGGGGACCCCACAGAATTATGGTCACAAAGCCAACAGCTCATACTCATAGGCCAGACAGCACTTCACATTGCCATCGAGAGGCGGAACATGGCACTGGTGACCCTCCTGGTGGAGAATGGGGCAGATGTCCAGGCAGCAGCCAACGGAGACTTCTTTAAGAAAACCAAAGGGCGGCCTGGCTTCTATTTTGGTAGGGAGACCATGTGGCTCATTAACAATTGCTAAGGGGAGGCTGGAGTCCCTGGGTGGTACAAATGTTAATGCAACAGGTTGCTAACAAAAGGTTGGAGGTTCCACCCAGAGGTGCCTTGGAAGAAAGTCCTGGTGATCTACTTCTGAAGAATCAGCCATTGCAAACTCTATGGAGCACAGTTCTACTCTGACATGCATAGGGCTGCCTGGGGTCAGAACTGAGTCAACAGCAACTGGTTACTGGTTAAGGGGAGACTGGAGTAGAAATAGGAGTTGGCAGCCCCATGATTCAGGGACCATCCCAGACTCATTCCCAAAGACCATGGGCCATGTGCCCAGCTCTGTGTCCCTGTATTGGCTGCAGGTGAGCTGCCACTCTCCCTGGCTGCATGCACCAACCAGCTGGGCATCGTGAAATTCCTGCTGCAGAACTCCTGGCAGCCGGCTGACATCTGCGCTCAGGACTCGGTGGGCAACACAGTGCTGCACGCCCTGGTGGAGGTGGCCGACAACACGGTTGACAACACCAAGTTTGTTACGAGCATGTACAATGAGATTCTCATCCTGGGGGCCAAGCTCCACCCAACGCTGAAGCTGGAGGAAGTTGTCAACAAGAAGGGACTGACGCCACTGTCTCTGGCTGCCAGCAGTGGGAAGATTGGGGTGGGGAGGGGGCTCCTGGCCCTCAGCTGGGGGTGTGACTATACTGGGGTGTGTGGGAGAGGCCTGCCCACCTCACTGCTTGTGCCAGCGCCCCACTGTGCAGAGCTCTGATTCTGTAATGCCAGCCTGGATGGGTAGGGCAGGGGTTTGGTAGAATAAGTCAGAAACATTGTGATGAGTTGGGAGAACTCAGACTGGCAGACGAGACCATTTCTGAATTCCACCTCTGAGCATCACAGACGAGACATGAGTGAAGGAGGGGATGATGGAACCTGGAGATAGGAATGGTTTGAACTTAGTGTCAAATGGTAAAGGGAGCTGTGATGTGTTTCCAGGCCAGGGAGGATTTTTAGGAGATAGGAAGACAGTTTGGGGCAGGGCAGGCCCAAGCCAAAACATGAGTCTATGGATGATGTCAGATCACGGAAAGCAGATGAGAATTGGATGGGGAGGGAGCTTCTCAGTACCAGGGCATTCTGGAAGCTCATCCTTGCTCATGTTGTTGTTGTTGTTGTTATGCGCCATTGAGTCATCTCTGACTCATAGCGACCCCTCCTTGGGTTTCCGAGGTGGTATGTCTATGGAAGTAGATTGCCCAACTTTCCTTCTGAGGAGTGGCTGGTGGGTTTGAACTGCCAATCTTCTGGTTAGCAGTCAAGTGCCTTAGGCACTACGCCACCAGAGAGCCTCTTAGGATGAAGTTGTTGTTGTTAGCTATTATCGAGTTGGCCCCAACTTAGGGTGGTCCCGTGAACAACAGAACAAAACGTTGCCTGGTCCTGTGCCATCCCCGTGATTGGTTGCAGATGGGACAGTTGTGAGTCATGAGATTTTCATTGGCTGATTTTCAGAAGTAGATTGGCGGGGCCTTTCTTTCAAGATAGTCTTAGTGTGAAAGCTTCGCTGAAACCTGTTCGGCATCGTAGCTCCGTGCAAGCCTCCCCTGACAGATGGCTGGTGGCTGTGCATGAGGTGTACTGACCAGAATCAAACCTGGATCTCCTGCATGGAAAATGAGAATTCTGCCACTAATCTTAGGATGAGGAACCTGGCTTTATGACCTTAGTTTTTTTTTTTTTTTAAATGTGATTTGAATTTTTTGAATTTATAGAGCAAATTCACATTCCATACACTTTGTCTCTTGACATTGACTACAATTTACCCCAATGCAACAGCTCCCCTCCCACTTCCTCCCGATAGTTACCTCTTCCCTGTATCCATCCCTCCATGCTCTCCTGCCCCCTGAGCTGTCACCTTGTGCATAAAGAGCCCTTCTTCCTCCCATGATTGTTCTTTCCAAGGAGTGTATCTATCTCAGGTAAATGTTCAACTCATATGCCTGTCTTTTGTTTGGCCAGATCTGAAGGGCAAGTAGGGGCCATAGTCTCAGTGGTTCCACCAGGCTCTATTGGACCAGCAAACCTGGTCCCCCCGCCTTTTCTTTTTGATGATTTTGAGTTTTGTTCCACATTGTTCTCCCTCTCTATCCAGGATTTCCTAGAGATCCTCCTCCAGGTGGTTGGCAGTGGTAGCTGGGCACCATCTAGTTCTGGTCTCATAGTTGTATAGGCTGCAGATCGATCACATCGTATACCAGTATGACCTTAGTTTTAACTCTTGGATTTTCTTTGTTGATTTCCTTCTAGCTTTCCTTGAGGTTTTCTAGAATGGAGACACTCAAGGTCCTTCACTGTGAGATGGTGGAGCTAAAGGGGAGCCAGATGTGACCGGGTGATGGGCCTAAGTGGCTGTAGTTGGGATCTGAGGCAGTGGGCAGGTTGATACTGGTGGTTAGGGGGCAGCTGGATAGGATCAATGTCTTTCCTGGGATTCAGGTGGGGTCCTCAATGGGGTTTGGAGATAGAGTTGTTCTGGGAGCAGAGCTGGTGGCCTGGGTGGGTTGCAGTCTATGGCTGGGCCTTGGCCTGGCCTCTAATGGGCTCTTTACCCTGGTGACAGGTCTTGGCCTATATTCTTCAGAGGGAGATCCAGGAGCCTGAGTGCAGACACCTATCAAGGAAGTTCACTGAGTGGGCCTATGGGCCTGTGCACTCCTCACTCTATGACTTGTCCTGCATTGACACTTGTGAGAAGAACTCTGTACTGGAGGTGATCGCCTACAGCAGCAGCAAGACCCCTGTGAGTGGTCCAGGGCTGGGGCACAGCCAGGGAGGGCTTCAGGTCTCACTGTACCCTGTTAGCACTCCACTACC